TTGAGGAACCTGCAGGTCAGTCTGCAGGGATGGGGCCTTGGGGGCATCACGGTGGTGGGCGCAAGCCAGGGAGTCACATACTGGAAAGGAACAATTGCTTGGGCCACCGTGAGGAGGGTGAATGGGGGGTTGAGACCGAAGGCAAGGAAACCAGTTGCAGAGATTGTGGTCTGGGAGGTAGTGAAGGGTAAAATCAGTGGAATTTCAGGACAACCTGGAGAAGGTGGGTGAGCAGAGGCAGTGGAGGGTTGGCAACTTCCTGCCAAGGGGAGGGGACGGGGGTGGAGCAATTCCCGAGATGGCAATGACAGCGATAATGACAACTAGTGCTAAAATTGGTGCTTACTATATGCCAGGGAATGTGCAAAGTGCTTGATATGCCTTATCTCAGTCTCAATCCTGGAATTGTGATTATCAGCAGGGAATAGAGCCCAGAGATGGAATCCAGAGCTGGGAACAGGGAGGTGCGGGAGGCTGGGTGGCGGAGGTGGGGAGGGGAGGTGAGGAAATGGCTTTTATATAAACAAGATGAAAAACTGTTCAGGGACCGCTCTTGTCATACTTTTCTATTATTAAAAAAGAAAGAAAACACATGTTTTATTAGTAGCTAAGCACTTTTATTTCCACCACTGGTAATAACAAAAAATCTGTAGGGCCTGAAAGCATGGCAATTCTAACCCCTCTATTTAAAAAAGACCTCTGAAGTACATATCCCTTAGGACTATGCATGGGTAGTCAAAGCTTAATGACCAGCGGGGGGACAGGAGGGTGGAGGTGTCTGTGATCAGAAGCTCGGCTGTCCTGGTGGTTTTATTTCTTGAGCTGACAGTGGTGAAATCAGTGGTGATCAGTGAATTAGTTTCTATACCTTCTTGAATATCTTAAATATTTTATAATTAAAGATTGGGTGTGACGGATATTCTCCGGCTCTACATGAAAGCTGGTTGGAGGTACTAAGTCACACTCACAAATTACAGGATCTCTGTCCCCCTAGTTAGCCTGAGTTCCTTTCACCACATCCTGGCTCTGTTTGCATACCCCCAGAGACGGGAAGCTTCCTCCCTCTCTTGAAGTTGCCTGGGGCCCTCTTTGAACAGCTCTAATTGTGGGAAAGTTCCTTATAAAGAGCCAGAAGCCTGCTCCAGTCCCTCTGCCCACTGGAACCACACAGTCTGTGTGTGATCACACAAGGCCCAGGCTGCCCTTTAGATCTTTGAAGGCAGTGCTCATTCTCTTCTCTCCATTCCAAATTTTTCGTCTCTGGGTAAAGTCTCAGTTCTCTTTTCAGGCAAGTGACAGAAAACCAGCTCAAACTGGTTTATGATAAAAGGTGAATGCATGGCTCAAGTGACTTAAAGTCCTGGGGTTTCTGAGCTTCAGGCACAGCTGAATCCAGGTGCCCAGAGGGTGTCTCCATGTCTCTCAACTCCTCATTCTTCCCCACTGGCTCTGTTTTCAGACCCACAGTCGACCAGCTCAACTACCCCTGGAGGCTCCAGCAAAGCTCAGTTCTTCCAGCAAAATTCCTGGAGGGCTTAGGTCATTCGAACCATCCCTGAACCAATCCCTGTGGCCAGGCAAATGGGGCAGTGTGGTCAAACCTGAGTCATGTGACAATCTCTGCATCCTAGAGGTAGGGACAGCCCAGCCTGAACCACATGGGCCAAAAGTGGGAAAGAATGGTCCCCACAGGAAAATCGATTGTAATTACCACCAAAAGACTAGATGTATTAGGTAGGACGTAGGTTTTATAACAGAGATCCATAATAACACCGGCTTAAACAAGATGGAATTTTATCCCTCCCTAACTCCAGATGCCAGAGATCTTGGGCTGATACGGTTAACTGTATGGTTGGGGTGCCCCATAGCTGAGCATTCATTATCCGAGTTGGAAGTAAGAGTTGTTAAAACATGAATATATTTACTACTGTCCTGGCCACTTACTTCATTCCCACTCAAGCATCTCACCCTACCTAGCACCAGCATCTGTCCGCCCCTCCCATCTGCATCTCTTCTGTCTGTCAGGTCTACTTATGCAAGCTGGCAGCAAAGGAAATCTTCCAAGTTGTAGAATTTCATGAAGTTGATGAGAGTTATGTTGGAGAGCTCCTGGGTCCTGCACACAGTGCCTGACAAACCAAGGATCTGTCTATCTGGCTGGCTCAGCCCTGTCTAAATAATGAAAACCCCCAATGTGAAGAAAGATGAACCTGTGCTTTGGAAGAAAATGATCTGAATGTCATAGAACTGAGAGTGGCCCAAAGGACTCAGGGGGATGTGATGAAACATTTTGGTTGTTAGGACCCAGAAGGTTCTAGTAAGGACCATCAGGCAATTTTGTGGGAAAAACTATGCCTACTCAAATGAACTTTTTGTACTCTAATTGTCTTACTTCATTTTCTGCTGCTATAGCAGAATACCACTCTGGGTAATTTGTAAACAATAGAAATTTATTTGACTCATAATTCTGAAGACTGGGAAGTCCAAGAGTATGGCACCAGCATCTGGTGGGGGCCTTCATGCTGTATCATCCCATGGTGGAAGGCAGAAGGGCAAGACAGCACTAGAAAGTGAGCAAGAGAGAGCTGAACTCACTTTTACAATAAATCCAGCATCTTGATAATGAGCTCACTCCTTCAATAAAGAGATTAATCCATTCACGAGGGTTTTGCCCTTATGACCTAATCACTTTTTTTTTTTTTTTTTTTTTTTGAGACGGAGTCTTGCTCTGTCGCTCAGGCTGGAGTGCAGTGGCCGGATCTCGGCTCACTGCAAGCTCCGCCTCCCGGGTTTACGCCATTCTCCTGCCTCAACCTCCCGAGTATCTGGGACTACAGGAGCCCGCCACCTCGCCTGGCTAGTTTTTTGTGTTTTTTTGTATTTTTAGTCGAGACGGTGCTTCACCGTTTAGCCAGGATGGTCTCGATTTCCTGACCTCGTGATCTGCCTGTCTCGGCCTCCCAAAGTGCTGGGATTACAGGCTTGAGCCACCACACCCGGCCCTAATCACTTCTTAATAGTCCCACCTCTTAATACATTCACAATGGCAATTAAATTTCATCATAAGTCAGCTGGGCATGGTGGCTCATCACTGTAATCCCAGCACTTTGGGAGGCCGAGGCAGGTGGATCACTTGAGGTCAGGAGTTCAAGACCATCGTGGCCAAGATGGTGAAACCTTGTCTCTACTAAAAATACAAAAATTAGCCGGGTGTAGTGGTGGGCACCTGTAATCCCAGCTACTCAAGAGGCTGAGGCAGGAGAATTGCTTTAACCTGGGAAGCAGGAGTTGCAATGAGCCGAGATCGTGCCATTGTACTCCAGCCTGGGTGACAAGAACAAAACTATCTTTAAAAAAAAAAAAAAATTAAATAAATAGGCCGGGCGCGGTGGCTCAAGCCTGTAATCCCAGCACTTTGGGAGGCCGAGACAGGCGGATCACGAGGTCAGGAGATGGAGACCATCCTGGCTAACACGGTGAAACCCCGTCTCTACTAAAAAATACAAAAAACTAGCCGGGCGAGGGGGCGGGCGCCTGTAGTCCCAGCTACTCGGGAGGCTGAGGCAGGAGAATGGCGTGAACCCGGCGGTGGAGCTTGCAGTGAGCTGAGATCTGGCCACTGCACTCCAGCCTGGGCAACAGAGCGAGACTCTGTCTCAAAAAAAAAAAAAAAAAAATTAAATAAATAAATGGGGGCGGGGCAAGCGTACCAGATTACAGACGATCACTATCAGGAGGAACCTGGCTAACACGAACCGTCTCTACTAAAAACAAAAAATAGCGGGAGGGGCTGGTCCACATCGGGAGCGAGAGGAAATGGGGAACCGGGGCGAACTGCAGTGAGCTGAATCTGCACTGACTCCAGCCTGGGCAACAGAGCGAGACTCTGTCTCAAAAAAAAAAAAAAAAAAATTAAATAAATAAATAAATTTCATCATAAGTTTTAGAGGGGACAGTCAAACCATAACACTAAGTATTAGCACATTAACCTAAGAATTAGCATATTAACCTAAATGTTGTTTGTGGAAGATAAAATGTGTATATTTTCAGAGTTTTAATTTCATTTTTCAAAACAAAGCTCCAATTAAACATTTTTTTCCAATTACTAAGAAATGTTGGTTCCCAGAGCTTTGACTTGTGGTCAAAGTGGTCTTTTTCTCAAGATAATGAGACCCTTCTTTAGAGTGGGTTCAATGTCTGTCTCACTTGCCAGACTATGGTATGGGTGCTGTGTGGTGGGGCCCACATCATTATTCCTGGAGATGGAATCTAGAATGAGGTTTGGCTTGACCAGGTGCAGTGTCTCACGCCTGTAATCCCAGCACTCTGGGAGGCCAAGGCGGGTGGATGACAAGGTCAGGAGTTCAAGACCAGCCTGGCCAAGATGATGAAACTCCGTCTCTACTAAAAATACAAAAATTAGCCGGGTGTGGTGGCAGGCGCCTGTAATCCCAGCTACTCAGGAGGTTGAGGCAGAGAATTGCTTGAACCCGGGAGGCAGAGATTGTAGTGAGCCGAGATCGTGCCACTGCACTCCAGCCTGGACGACAAAGCGAGACTCCATCCCAAACAAACAAACAAACAAACAAAGAATGAGGTTTGGCTCGATAAATATGTATTGAATGAATGAATGGAAGATCTTAGTAAGGCCTGTGTGGCTCTGGCCCAGCTGGTCTGGGGCCCCTTAAGGGGCATCCCTGGAACTGGACAGAATTCCCCTGTCTGTGGTGATCAAATTTGCCTGGAGTTGGCCATGTACAGTGGCTCACACCTGTAATCCCAGCACTTTGGGAGGCCAAGGTAGGCAAGGCAAATCACTTAACTCAGGAGTTCAAGACCAGCCTGAGCAACATGGCAAAAACCCATCTCTACAAAAAATGCAAAAATTAGCTGGGCATGATAGCGAGCACCTGTAGTCTGAGCAACTTGGGAGGCTGAGATGGGAGGGCTGCTTGAGCTTGGGAGGTTGAGGCTGCAGTGGGTCATGATTGTGCCACTGTACAGACAGCCTGGTGACAGAGCGGGATCCTGTCTGGAAAAAAAAAAAAACCACAATTGCCTGGAGCTAAGTGGGGCTCTCACCTGCTCCCTCTCTTCTCTCTGCTAGAGACCGGAGGCCTTGAAGGAAGGAGGCCCCACGGTCTCTTCTGGCTCTGCTTCCCTATCACCGCCCCCACTTCCCCGCATCCCTTTCCCTGGCAGAGGCTTCTTGCCATAGGGCTCTGGGCACTCACAAGACCTTCAAAAGAAAGGTTCACATTCATATTTGTCTTCTCTGTAGAAGTGCTGGAGGCTGATGGGGGGAGGGGGAGCAGCAACGCTTGGTGGTCCAGAGCTCTACGGTGTTGAACTGTTTTAAATCTTCACAAGCCCAGCAGGTAGGGATTGCTACACTCCTCCTGTTAGAAACCAGAGTCTGAGAGAGGGTGAGGAGGCACCCAAGGCGGTGCTATTGGTGGCAGGGTGGCAGAGTTGGGGCAGGAGTTCTGATTTTCCATCTCATTCCTCTGTTGCTGTCTAAGCAGAGGGCCTGGCTGACAGCTACCTACACAGAGGAAGGTATTCTCGAGAGTTTCCTCCCCTCTCTAGGCCTCTATGTTTTCTGCAAAATGGAGATAATAAGACTGAAATGCACATAGTAGGTGCCAAATAAGTACTAGCCACGTGCTTGCTAATGGGAGTCCTGCTGCACACTCACACTCTGCCTGGGCTCTGTAAGAACAGCCCGGAGCCTCCATCCAGGAGTTTTCATCGCAGAGGGGGCAGGACAGCAGCATGGGTAGGAGCTCGGGCCAGGAGAATCCCTACTCTAGGTATGACTGTGTGATCTTGGGCAAGTGACTTCATTCCCTGATTGTGTTTCGTCATCTGAACAAGGAGGCTATTGAAATGCGGGTGTCTACCTAGTGAGACAGCGGCTGCAGGAATCACCTGGCTACAGTAAGCGCCCTTGCATCCTATTGAGTGAGTCAGGGATAAGCCTGGTCCCTGGCAGGATGCAGGATTCTATCCTGAGATACACCCCCTCTGCTTTCCCCTATTCCAGCCCACCAGGGCCTCTCCTCCAGGCAGGAAACATGATCTCCTTTTGACCTATGAGAAAACAGACAGGAAGTTCAAGGCCACACAGATGTGAGTGTTAAGAACCCTGGGGGGAAAGTGTCTGAAACTCAAGGCTTTGTGTGTGTGTGTGTGTGTGTGTGTTTGTGTGTGTTTGTGTGTGTCTCTGTGTGTGTGTCGGGCTGTGTTGGGGGGTTGGTCAACCAGGTGATTTAAATGTGGGTATAGAACAATAGGTAGTGGTGGGGCCCCCAAGAACCTAGATTCCTTAAAGATATTTTTCTTCCTCTCTCTCTTCTCTCTCTCTCCCTTCCTCCCCCCTCCCCCTCCCCTCCCCTTCCCCTCCCCTCCCCTTCCCTTCCTTTCTCTCTCTCTTTCTCTCTCTCTCTCTATTTTCTTTATTTTTTCTCTCTTTCTTTCTTATTTTTTTTTTTTTGAGACGGGGTCTCACTCTGTCTCCCAGGCTGGAGTGCAGTAGCACTGTCGTGGCTTATTGCAGCCTCGACCTCCCTGGCTCAAGCGATTCTCCCACCTCAGCCTTCCAAGTAGCTGGGACTACAAACATGCACCACTATACCTGGCTAATTAAAATTAAAAAAAAAAAAAACAACTTTTTTTCTTTGGTAGAGATGAGGTCTCACTGTGTTGCCCAGGCTAGCCTCAAACTCTGGGCTCAAGTGATCCTCTGGCCTTGGCCTCCCAAAGTGCTGGAATTACAGGCATGAGCCACTGTACCTGGCAACATATGTCAACTTCAAATTTTTCACTTTTTGCTCTGCTTTCCAATCAAAACAAACCCAGGAGCCTGAGTTCAGCCTTTGAGCTGCAAGTCTGAGACCCTGCACCAACACTGACTTTATTGGGCCTTTGCATTGCACAGCGTGCGCACCCCTGCTCACCCTCCTACCTGTGTGCAAATGAGGATGACTAGCAGGGTCAGCAGCAGAAGTCTCTTGGGGCTAGCTCTGCTGACAGTGATCACTGATCAGTTCTCCTCTGAGAAGCCTGAGCCCTCTCAGCCAGCATCATGCAGAGCAGTCTCAGGATGGTTAGGCCTATGGCTGTCCTCCTCTGGAAGGGCCCTCGTTTGTTCAGAAGCCTCCCCTGGTTAAAGCAGGCAGAGGAAAATCACTCTTGAAAGCTCAACTCACCAATCACCTCCTCCAGGAAGCCTTCCCCGAATTCCTTGACAGGACTAGGTCATTACTCTGCAGGCCTGAGCACCACAGTACTCTTCACAGGTAACATTCACATTGCAACCCAGGGTCTAACCCAGTGTCTGACCCACAGTGGGCTCTCCATGCATGAAATGGGTGACTAAACTCACCTGCTGTGTGACTTTGGATCAGTGACTTCACCTCTCTGAGCCTTGATTTTCCTATCTGTAAAATGAGTTGTGTCGAGGCAGCATTCAGAGGGTCCCTGCAGATGTGATTAAATCAATTAAGGTTCTTCTTGAGATGGAGGGATTAGCCTGGATTATCCAGGTGGCCCAGAATGGAGTCACAAGGGTCCTCATGAGCAGAGGCAGGAAGGTCAAGGGAGGAAGTAGGAGCTGGGACAATGGAAGCAATTGTTTTCTTGCGTGTTCTAGCTTCTGGAGGTCACCAAGTGGTCACAAGCAGAGAAACACAGGCAACCTCCAGAAACTGGAAAAGGCAAGGAACAGATTCTCTCCGGGAGACGCCAGGAGAGCAGGTCCGGCCCACACCTTGGCTTTAGCCCAGTGAAACTGATTTTGGAGTTCTGACCTCCAGAACTGTAAAGAATAAGTCTGTCCAGCCTGGGCAACATGGCGAAACCCACTCTCCACAAAAACTACAAAAATGAGCTAGGCATGGTGGTGTGTGCCTGTGATCCCAGCTACTCAGAAGGCTGAGGCACGAGAATCAGTTGAACCCGAGAGGCAGAGGTTGCAGTGAGCCGAGATTGTGCCACTGCACTCCAGCCTGGGCAACAGAGCGAGACTCTGTCTTAAAAAATAATAAATCAATAAATAAACAAATAAATTTGTGTTATTTTAAGCCACTTGTAGAATTTGTTACAACATCCCTAGGCACCTGGCACACAGTAGGTACTCAAAAGTGGCAGTTCTGGCCAGGCGTGGTGGCTCACACTTGTAATTCCAGCACTTTGGGAGGCCAAGGCAGGAGGATCACTGCCCAGAATTCAAGACCAGCCTGGGCAACATAGCAGGATGCCATCTCTATAAAAATTAAATTGGCCAGGCATAGTGGTGTATGCCTGTGGTCCCAGCTACTTAGGGGGCTGAGGTGGGAGAACAGCTTGAGTCCAGGAGTTCGAGGCTGCAGTCAGCTATGATCACATCCCTGCACTCCAGCCTGGGCAACAGAGTCAGACCCTGTCTCACACACACATACACACACACACACACACACACACACACAGAGGCAGTTGTTAGTACCTTGACCCCACACCCTCTTCCATCTGCCTGCACATTCCCTCCTCCTCTCACTCTCTGGGACACCCATCCCCTTTGCCACCCAGGGCTCCCCTCCTGCCCATCCTCTGAGGTCTGGCTCAATCGCCACCTCCTCCAACGCTTCGCTGAACTGACATCCAGGAATGCTAATCCCTTGAACAAATGTGTTTCCTTGAGTGGTGCCTGAACTATGGCTCCCAAAGAGGCCAGGCTTGTGATCCTCTTTGTACCCCCAGCCCTGCGTATAGGGTCCAGTGGCCCCAGTCATGTAAACTTGATACCAAGGAATTTTCAAAACAAAAGTACCTAATTCCAAGGCCAGGAAATGGACTCTCCTGGACTTCGGGTTCCAGCTGCTTTCCCGCCCTCTCCAGGTAGAGAAGCTGGCCTTGGGGACCCCTGTGTGGGAACCAGAAATCCCCCAGCAAGGCCTCCTTGTCTTGCCTCCCACTGGGGTCCCTAGAACCAGCCTTCCCTTAGGCTCCACTTAGGAGCAGGTTAAGGTAAGGCAGGGAGGGCAGGAGACCAGCTCGGGGTGGGGACGGGGGGCCCTGGATGGATGACAGGGACTGTTCCCATTAATCTGGCGTCTTAAAGCAGTAACAGCACTTACTGCATGCCAGGCTGAGAGCTAAATGCTTTCCACACGTACCTCATTCAATCCTCTCAACAGACCCATGAGCTAGGTACTATTATCCCCATTCTACAGATGAGGAAACTGAGGCTCAGCAAGTTAAGTAGTTTGCTCAAAGCCACCCAGCTGGGCACAGAGGAGCCATGTTTAGAAACCAGATTTGCAGGTGCAGTGGCTCACGCCTGAAATCTCAGCACTTTGCGAGGCCGAGGCGGGCAGATCACCTGAGGTCAGGAGCTCAAGACCAGCCTGATCAACATGGAGAAATCCTGTCTCTACCAAAAATACAAAATTAGCCGGGTGTGGCAGTGCATGCCTATACTCCCAGCTACTCGAGAGACTGAGGTAGGAGAACTGCTTGAACCTGGGAGGCGGAGGTTGTGGTGAGCCAAGATCGCACCGTTGCACTCCAGCCTGGGCAACAGGGGCAAAACTCCGTGTCAAAAAAAAAAAAAAAAAGAAAGAAAAGAAAAGAAAAGAAAGAAAGAAAAGAAAAAAGAAACCAGATGTGTCTTCCCCAGAAACTGTGCTTAAAACAAGCTTAAAACGACACAATTCGCACTGGGATCCAGCTCTGTCTTGCTCTTGATATTCGCCCTGCGAGACGGGTAGCCAAGCCCAGTGGGAAGGACCGTGGGGACCGGTGTCGATTCTGTGCTGCAGCCTGAGAACCTGGAGAGGGGACCTCACCACTCTGCACCTGTTTCCTCGTCCACAAAATGTGATGAGCTGACCTCACAGAGGGGGCACCGGGATCTAATGAGGCCATGCACAGAAGGGGCACAGCAAGCCTGGGACAGAGTGAGGCCCTCTACCTATCACAATACCTTATTTTGCAGATGCGGGACTCACTTGTCCCACTGCATGACTCACTTGTCCCAGGTCACCCACAAGCTCTGATGCCTTGACCAGCTCCCCTCTGCCCAACCAAAGGACAAACAAGGGAGGCTTCGATGGGGCTGTTAATAGGATCATGTCCCACAGACCCTAGAGGCTGGGTGGGGCTGGGAGCCTTCCCAAGCAGGTGGCAGTGAGCTCCCACCTGAGCTATGGCAAGTAGAGACCTAGGCATGAAACTGCTCAGAGGTCTATAACTTAAGTTTCACTCATTCATTCAACGTGCCTCTGTTTAAAGACTGCCAGTGGCTACCTTCCTTGCACCTCACTGGGCCCTCTGCAGCCCTGCAGGCTCTGGCCCTCCTGTTATGGCTGTGACTTCAGTGTGCCCATTACTTGTTCCCTTGCTCACGGCCTCCTCACAATTCCACTTACTCACCAAGTTCTCTCCTGCCTCAGGACCTTTGCACTTGATGTTCTCTCTGCCAAGGATGCTCTTCCCAGCAGGACAGGCTCCTGTAGTCCCAGCTACTCAGAAGGCTGAGGTGGCAGGACTGTTTGAGGCCAGGAATTCAAGTTCGGTCTGGGCAAAACAGCAAGACCCCGCCTCTAAAAGAAAAAAAAATGCTCTTCCCAGACTTTACCCATGGCGGTTCCTCCTGTTATTTAGATCTTTGCACAGACAGGCCTCCTTCTCTCACCACCAGTCAAGGAGCCCTAGCCGTCACTTCACCTGCTAATTTTCTTCCTAGCACTTACTGCTCTAAAATTATCTTCGTCATGTATCTAAGCATTTGTTTGCTGTCTGTCTCTTCCCACCAGGATGCCAGCTCCATGACAGCAGGGACCGCATTGTCTCTGCTCATTCCTCAAGACTCAGCAAGGTGCCAGGTGCCCAGTAAATGAAGTTTACATGAAACCAATAGAGTTTTGAAATCGAAAATGTTTCTCAAACTGTAAAGAAGTGGGCACAGGTGAGGGCTAAAGGAGTGAGGGTGGGGGCCTGGCCTGACGCTGGAAGCTCCAGAACGCAGGGCGCTAGAGTCCTCCCGGGCCTCACCGGGATCCCACCGCAGAGGGCCCCTCCCGCAGGCCGGCGGGAGGGCGGGCGGGGGGCGCGCAGTGGGGCGCGCGGACCGCCAGGGGGTGCTGTCGGGGCGCGCACGGCCCACCTGGCGCCCGGGGCCGCGAGCGAGCGCAGCCAGGCCGCCCGGGAACTTTTTTCCTCGCGCTCTCGCTCTCCTTCTCCCCCCGCGCGTCGCCCGCCCGCCCGTCCGCTCTTCCTGTGCGGAGGGGATCGCATTTCCCCGCGGCACCCGCGGACACCAGGCAGGCCCGGCCGGGTGCGCGGCCAGGGCCCGGTCCCCGCGCCGCCCGCTCCCCGCGCCCCCGGGCGCCGCCCCCGCCCGCGGCTGGGCTCCGAGAGACTAGTGGGAGAGCGAGTGCGGCGAAGGCGAGAGGCGAGCCGAGCAGGCCGCCCAGCCCGCGGCCCGAGCGCCGGCGCGAGGAGGGGGCGCCGCGGCCCACCCTCCTTCCTGCCTGGCCGCGGGCCGGCGGGGCCGCCGCGCCCCGACCCCCATGGCCACCCAGGCCTCCGGGCCGCGAAGTCGCAGCGCCAGACCCAGGGCCCCCGAGTGAGCGCGGGCACCGAGGTGAGCAGCGAGCGACGGGGCGCGGGGGGCTCAGTGGACGCTGCCCCGGGGCGGGGGCGGCGCGAGGCGTCGGGATCCTGGGCCGGGTGAGGAGCCGAGGCGGGTTCGGGGACCGAGAGCGCGCGCTGGGTGGAGTTGTGGGGTCCGCGGGGTCCTTGCTTTGTGTGGTGTGGGGGGTGCGCGAGGTCACCGGATGGACGTCTGGGGAGCTGCAGGGTGGGGGCGCCCTGCGCCGCGGCTGAGGGTCTTCTGGGGAATGTGCGGCCGGCTGAGGTCGGGTTGGGGCATGGCGCGAGGGGCGAGTGTGGCAAGGGCTCTGCGTGCGCCGAGGCGCGGAGTGTTTGCGGAGCGTAGGGTGGCGACGTGGGGAACATTCGCGCGGCGCCGGGGGCGGAGGGGAGCTTTGTGAGTGCGTCCGAGGTGGGGGGCGGGGAGCTGACTTCCCCATGCGTGACCCGGGCCCGGCGTGGCCGTCGCGTAGGAGTCAGGGCCCGCAGGGGCGGCGAAGGCCGTGCGTGGCGAGATGGGGTGCGCGGGCTCTCTGCGGTGTCCCCACCCGGGCAGCGGCGCCGGGGCCTGTGCGCAGGCCCCGAGGCCGGGCAGGAAGCGGCCCCCGCGACTTGGGGAGCTCTGTAGCGGCCCGGGACGCACGGGCCCTTCGGGGATGACGTCACGGGCGGGGGCCCCGGACACGCGAGCCTGGCACCCCACAGACAGCGGCGCAGCCCGCCGCCCCGCCGCTCTTTTCGAGGTCGGCCCCCCTCTCCCGCGCCTTGAAGGCAGGGAACCCGGGAGGAGGACATGGGGGCCGAGTGCGGCGGGGACAGGGGGTGGCAGGACGCGAGGGTGACATTTGGAGCCTGGTCGCTCCAGGGGCCTCCGTGGTGGGGCAGAGGGGAAGCGAAACACCAGCCAGGCCCTAGGCCGTCGCGGCCACAGCTTCCTGGGGCGCCCGTTTTCCCGGCGAGCAGTTTTCCTTCTTGGGACTCTTGGTCGTTATCCAGTCCACGCAGGGGCCGGAGTGCGGGCTGCAGCGGTGCCCTCCTGCGCGGAGCCCGGGCTGGCGGGGGCGCGGCGGGCCTTGGGCTCTGAATGGATGGGAGCGAGTGTAACAATGCGCCGGTGGGGGCTGGGGGAGGGGAGGCCGCGCGCCTGAATGGCGGAGCCGGCCGGGCGCTGCTCCGCGCGCCGCACTCTCTCCCGGGCCGCCTGCCTCGCGGTTTCGGCGGGCCCGGATTCAGGGACCCACTCGGGACCTGCACGGTTCCTCCCACCAATATTGCCCCCCCGCCTCCCCTTTATGTCTTTTCCAACGCAGTAGTGTGTTGAGAATTCAAGGGCATTACATCTGGTTGCAATCCAGTTTCATGCCGCTGCCGGGCTGTTAAGACCTCGCGCTGACGTCAGAGCAGGGGAATTACTTCTTTTTATTTTATCTTTTTTTAGTTGTCTGCTGCCCTGGGAGGAGAGGCGGGGGTGGGTTAGGCGAGCTCTGATGTGGAGGCGCCAGCGTGATGGGAGCCCCGAGCTGGGGGCTCTGCTTCTCTTCCTGCCACTGCCCCCCTCCGTTCTCCATACAAACCTCGTTCTGCTCAGGGTCAGGCCCACCTCAGCTGGGGGGCAGCCCTCACTGCAGACTGAGTGGTGGCCCCTCCCTGCTGACCACACAGCTGGGTTTTCAGAGGCTTCCCTGGGACGTGGCCCTCGGGATCTGGAAGCTGGAAAGGAATCTTCTAGTTTCCCACCCCTCCCCCTCTGACAGGCAAGCCGGTAGGAGCAAGAAGTGGCCTTTTGCGTGACACAGAAGTGGACACAGTCATTCTGATCTCAGGGCAGGCTCAGCCCTATAACTCTGGCAAAAGCTCTCACAAGCAAAAAGACTTGGAGAGGAGGAGAATGTATCAAGGCGAGATCCAGGCCCTAGAAGCCAACTGTGGAGTGGGCAAAATAGGACCTTTCCACCAACCTAGCATCCCTCTGGCTTCTATGGAGATAAAGGGAACTCAGGGGTACTGGAGCTGCCTTTCTCTTCCACTAGACTGTGGGACTCTTGTAGGCAGGGACCCTGTCTTACTCTGTTTATTTTATTTTTGAGGCAGGGTCTTGCTGTGTGGCCCAGGCTGGAGTGCCTTGGCACAAACACAGCTCACTTCAGCCTCAACCTCCGGGGCTCAAGCGATCCTCTAGCCTCAGTCTCCTGAGTAGCTGGGATCATAGACCCCCAATACCACACCTAGCTAATTTTTAATTTTTTTTTTTTTTTTTTTTTTCCCTAGAGACAGGGGTCTTGCCATGGCTGGTCTTGAAGTCCTGGGCTCAAGCTATCCTCCCTCTTTGGCCTCCCAAAGTGCTGGGATTACAGGAGTGAGTCACTGCACCCAACCTTACTCCTCTTTAGACTCCCAAGCTTAGACCAATGGCTTTCAAACTCTTGCCCGTGACATATAGTAAGAAATACATTGTAGGTAACTACACAGGTCACACTGTATATAGCTGAAACAAAAGTTTACTGAAATAACTCCCTTACTGTCTGCTGGTCTGTGATACTTTTTGTTCTAGTGTATTTGATTTTTTTTAAATTACTCATTGCTACCCACGAAATTAATTTTGCAATCCACTGATGGGTCATACCCAGAATTTGAAAGAAACAGGCCTAGGAAATGAATTTGCCATCTATTCATGCAACAAATGTTCATTGCAACCCTAATAATTCCTGCCATTTTAAACTACTCAAGTAACACTTGGATACTTGGGTGAAAAATGCAAATAAGCCAGAAATATATGTAGTAAAAGTAAAAGTTCCCTTGGCACCCTCCCTGCAGGTAACCCCAGTTAATAGTTTGAACGGGTCCTTCCAGACTTTTTGTTACATATATATGTGTGTATATGTGTATCACATATATATGTGTGTATATGTGTATCACATATATATGTGTGTATATGTGTATCATATTGTGTATATGTGTGTATCATATATGTGTGTATATGTGTGTATTACATATATGTGTGTATATGTGTGTATCACATATACCAATCCATGCATAGTTTTCTTTTTCCCCAAGTGAGGACACACGGACTATGGGCTCTTACTCGGCAGCTTCCTTTTTCCTCTCTGTTTGTCTTGGAGAGGCTGGTTGTGTGGCAAAGTCCTTCAGGGCAAGTTCTGGGTTGACTGCTGGCTCCACCACATACTGAGCAGGCCGTTTACCTCTCTGTGCCTCAGTGTCCCCATCTTTACAATCAGAGTAACAGTACAGACCTCACGGGACTGAAGTGAAGATGCAGTGAGTTAATCCATATGAAGTTTAGAGCAGTGCTTATGCCAGTAAATGCTGATTGCTGCTGTCATTATTGTATTATTATTGCTATTCTATCTCTATGGCAGCCCATCTTTGAAATGCATTGCTTTGAACAGCTGCCTGTGGCCATGGCATGGGTGTCTTTTTCCTCCCCTATCCAATGTGTGGCTCCACAGGGAGGGAGGAGGTGCAACAGCAATGGTGTGCACAGAGCAGCGTCTCTGTGGGAGAGGCACCTGGGTGCTGGGCCCAAGGGAACAGGGATTTTCCAAGGACCCACTATTTCCAAAGTTCTGTGCTTAATGTCGGGGTCCAAGCAGGAAGCATCCCTGCACTTGACCACAAGAAGGTCACAGCCCAGTGGGTAATTGGGACCCAGCTCATAGCCAAGGCCTTGACCAGAGCTGGGGGCTTCCTGGAGGAGGGGCCTTTGAGCAGGTGCTTCAGGCACGGCGAGGTAAGAATGAGAGGGGCATTCCTGGCAGAGGGAACGCAGTGAGCAGAGCAAGTCTTTGGAGGCTGGAAGGGATGTGGCCTGTGTGCTGTGGCCAAGAGGGGAGGACTTGGCTCAGAAAGAATGGTGGTGGAAGAGGGATGGGCTGTTGCTGGGACCTCCTCACTGGCCTCCCTGCCTCCATCCTGTCCCCTCCCAGGTGCTGGCCAGCAGCACTGTCAGTGATCATTCTAAACCCAGCAGATAACCTCCAGTGGCTCCTGCTGCCTTCTGAATAAAGGTCCCATCTGTAGTTCTTCCCACGCTGCCCAGGGCCATTTCTGGTGTCCTCTGCCTGCCCTGTCCTCATTCAGTCCTGTCCCCTCCAGCCATAGCCAGCACCTCCTTGTTAAGATGTAGCCATGTGCATCCCTGCCTCTGTGCATTGGGCTGGGCTGTTCCTTCCACCTGGGATGCCCTTCACCTTCCTCCCTGCTGCCCCAGACCAAAACAGACGTCCTGTCTCCTCCTCCTCTGACCTCCGAGGCAGTATGAGTCATCTCCCTTTGTCTATACTCGTGGCGTAGCGTTTATCACGGAATTATCG